TTTTACACATCACTCGTCTTTAAAAGCAAATACTTCCCTACAATGGATTTCCCTTGGTATATACTGTTTATCCTCTTCTAATAATCACATAGGATCAGCTATTATTAAATGAACTTTACACATTATTGATTTTCATGCATGAATCAAGCAGTATGGCTTTAAAATTACTGTGAAATTATCCTTCTCACAAAGAACCATCATAGACATTTAAGAGTGGGCTATATTAGTTGCAGCAACAAATGATTCACACACAATCTGTTGGGATTTCTCCTCCAACTTGGTGTCCTGAAAAAAATATATTGTTCTGGATGAATTTGAAATTTACTCATCTAAAACTAAAATCATGACTGCTTTATTTAGTTTCACTGATATAACGGGAATCAATTCACATTAGTTTCATCCAGATTTGATGCTACTTCAGAGTGGAAAATCTGTTGATAGCCAGGCACAACCAAAAATGTTCTTTGGGGGACAGAGAGAGAGGAAAGACGCAAATGGTATTATGCAGCTTATGACATCATCATATGATAAATTACATATTTCACGTAATCTGTACAATAGTGTCATGATGCATGTGGTTATTGTGGCCTCTTATGGATACCTTCAGAATTTTGGAGATGGTGAACACACATTTAATGGTCACATTGGGGAAGTAAACTGGACATGATCCATCTAGTGCAGCAACTGCACCCTTTCTTAGACTGAGAGACTTTGCTCATGGTCCCTCATGCCTTGGTCACCTCCCATTTGGATTATCATTGTGGTCTAGAAGACTATTTGGAAACTTCAACTGGTCCATGCACAGACATGGGGGCCTAGGTTTGCTTATGTAACATCATTGTTGCTCAAGCTGCATTGGCTTCCAGTTTCTTTTCAGGAACAACTCAAGTTGCTGATCATCATCATAAAGCCCTGTAGGGCACAAGACCAGGCTATCTCTGGGACTGTCTTACCCTAAGGACTTCTACCTGTCTTACCAGATCAGATAGGAAGGATATACTCCTAGTCCTTTCTCTTAAATATTGTCATCTGATGAGGAAGTATGCCTTTTCAATAATAATAAATAATGCCTTTTCCATAATAAACTAAATAAACACTTTGCCCCTGAAGTTCAGCAGGTCTCTATCCTCTTAGCCTTCCATATAGCTCTGAAAACCTGGCTTTTCCCCAAGCAGTTATCTAACTGCACATTAAAAGTTTGACTTGGTGCCAAGTCTCTGTTGTTTAACATGTTTTAATCAGTTTAGTATTATAGTTTTAATATGATTTTATACATTGTTTTAACTTTTGTTTGGGACCTGTTCAAAGCTGGTTAGAAGATAGGCAATTATGTAAATGTTTTAAATAAATGATATAGAATAAATGATTACACAATAGCTTCTGTTTGGAGTAAGATTTTCCTAGTTCTAAATTTTACAGGGAACAATTGCTTTGGTTTTTATTATTTCTTTAGCGATAAAACCTATGTATTGCACAGTTTTAAAGTGTCTGCCATTTCAAAATGTAGGAAACAAATTCTGTTGATTTTAAACACTGACTGAACTGAATTTTGGAATGGATTTCAAATACGGTACTGCAGAAAATGGGATTCTGGGGAATCATCAGTTAGTTGGTGAGTTTTTGCTTTGCAATTGACAACTTGCTTTTTTAAAGAGAAAAATCAAATAACAAGAATGATACCTCTGTAAGAATACAAGGAGACATACTGCTATACTTCTACCTACTGTATTTCTCACACACACAAAAAAAAATGCTATCCAGAATGTTATTGCTAAGGACTATGTTTTATGAAAGTAAAATTTAGAAGTACTGAACTTTGACTTGACTTTTTATTCTTTAAGTTCCATGCTCAGTAAAAAAAAAAAAAATGGCTTGGGTGGGTTTTTTTCCATTGCTGCTGTTGTTGTTGTTGTTGTTGCTTTAGTGAAAATAGTTAATTCAAAAAGAGTGTGTCTGAGAAAGCAAATATCAGGCAAAGGAAACAAAATTACTAAGGTTTTCATGTCCTTTTCTTGATTTGGAAGTGTCTGCCTCAGCACTGCCAGAGGCAGAGTATTTATTTAGTCTATTCATCTGTTGAGTGAATTTAAATATTAATGTTTACTATAAAACAATATTTACATAGCACAAAGATCAGCAGCAAGGTTACAGATTGTGAGACTGCTGATTTGAGTCCAAATAAGAGGTTGACAAGGAACAAAAGAACATTCCTCCCCCATTTCCCATCAAATTGCTGTCCTGTCATATTAACACCACTACTTGTAAAACCAAGACCGGATTCTTTGCAAATCCTGTCCAGTCATAAACTTCAAAAACCTGAATTAAAACTACACCAGCTAGGAATATCTATCAAATTGAGACAACCTCTGAATTTAGAGATACATCTTTATGTGTTCCATGTAAAGTACTGGTAAACAAATTAGGCCTTGGGTTGACCTGAAGCTTATATACATCAGAACCCAGTCTGAATCTCCAGAATTTAAAGGCACCTTTGCTGCCTTCTTAGGAAAGTTTCTTGTCAGAACAAGTGATGATGAGGGATGAGGAGACTTCAGTATCCAACTGTTCTCATTTTGAATCAGAGTGCCTCTACCAATACAATACAACCAGGAACAACCCAAGTGCCATATCAATGGATGAATTTGGCTCTGCTAACTCTAATGCAACCAAAACCAAAAATATGCCTTGCAATTTGTTCTGGCTGAGATTGTCTGTTTTGGCTTTGATGTTAATGACTATGTTAATGTTCCTTTGCTCTACCTTTTAAACCAATTTATTGTTGTCTTTATCTGATATAAGAGACTAACTGACCTGAGTAAATCATTTGAGCATTCATAGCTTTACGTCCTTACATTTATATGTCTGATAATAAGCTCCACCATTGTTTAGTAACAGCCATCAACATCTTTAAAGAAAATCGTTGATTTTGGATAGAGAAAAAAAAATCCCTTGTCCTATCTGTCTGAATTTTGGCAAGAGCTTTTCCCATAACAAGAGCAACTATTGCTGCAAATGTTATAAAATCCTGTTTGAAATGAATCAAATTACAGAAAGCTCTCCATTCCCCCAAATAATATTTGCACTTTCACACTGAGCAAAATTCAGTGAAAATTCTGTCAATTAAAATTAGGCTAGGTGGGCTTGATTATCATTGGGTTATAGGCTAAAAGAAGTGGAATGGAAGAAAGGTCAGAAGAATTTACAGATTCAAGATGGAATGTAGAAGCTGACTAAAGATATTCAAATTGTGTTTTATTGGGTGATAAGATGGCTTCCTGGTTCTCTTAAGCAGTGCATATTTAAGGTTGCTGGATAGTGAGATGGGTGGCATATAAATTTAATAAATAAATATGTATGTACGTTGAGAAATAAAACGTGAGCACCAGGAAGAAGTAAAATATTAAAAGTTTTATAAAACGCTAAAAGTTTAAATATAAAACATTTAAAAGTTTTTTTAAAAAGCAGACCTAGCTTTCGTTGGCTCCTGCCAACATCATCAGGGTACAAAAGAATCAATGGGAGAGACATTTATAATCAGGCCAGCACCTGCGCCCAGCTCCTGGATCGTGTAACAGGCCCTAACCGGCCAATCGTTGTACCTGTATCAATCATTAGACAATCCTCCAATTTGTCTTCATTCCCCCCATCCACATGCGCACTAGCTTTCATTTTTCCACCTCTCCGCCTCTGTAATTCAGGAGGGCATTTGATCTTTCCCCAATCCAGTATGTAATCATCATCATTAAGCTGCTTCCCCCGCTCTTTCACTCCCTTGGAACCTTCTGCACAGCTGGATTTCCTCTCCCCTACACCCTTTTGGCATCCATCATTGTCATGTTCTTGCTCTCTGCTCTGAGGTTCTGTTGCAGACATCCTGCAAACACTCACATTATCTGACTTCCCTTCACACTCAATCTTCCTAATAGCCCCCTTGCTGCAACCCTTAACAGCGTGAAACTCCTTCTTTCCCATAATAGTTCTTATTCCATACGGAGGTCCGTGGTTCCTGCTGCCCGCGCATCGGGATGGCAGGCACTCCACGGGGTAGTCGTTTCGGCGTCCAATCCAGCTGGCACCTTACGTCCTTCACCCCCATCGGTTTCAGTGTGGAATCCGATCTAATAGCCATCCTCTCTTCTTGCGTCGTCCGATGCGCCGCTGTCCGAGGGCGTGCGATTGCTCCTGGGGCAAAGGACTCACAGGCGCTCTCCTCCCGTGTGACCACAGGGGGCATGGCTTTCCTCGAAGGCCTTAGAGGCCCTGCTTTTCTGGGAAGACACAAACTTTACTCTTTCCCAGCTCTTTAGCTCTCTACTTGGAAATATGGAGCTCCCATGGGTAGAGTCAACCAGATCCTAGTTGAGGATCTGAGTCATCAGACCAAGGTCAAGAGCAGAGGATACTTTTCCACATGATGCTAATGTTCTTCGTGTCTCATCCCACTGAATGTCTTTTCTTGTTTTTCTTCTGAAAGTTGTTCATTGGCCAGAGGGATGACATCTTGTATTTTGCAGTTCTGCCAACATTTTATGTTTGTTTCTTTGGTGTTGCTGCTCTTCAGCCTTAGTCTTCACCTCTGCCCCACAGAGTGGGAATTAATTTCACAATCAAGCAAGGTGATTCTTTGGGTCACACATTAGAATGCTACAGAACATCTCTTTGAAGTCGTATCACGCCACCATCAATATGAAAAGGAAGTACACCGAGAGTTTGTTGCCTCTTTCTGTTTGTGTATCGTACCTACTATGACTGTTGGGGGAGAGGGGGAGAAATAAATGTTATATCATGTCTGTGGAGTGAAAAATCCCCTGCTGCTTCCATGCAGCATACAAATGAAATAGTTTAGTCTGCATTTGCTAGGTTCTGGGATAGAGATAGCAAGAAAGCTCAAACAGCTTACTGAACTTAAAAGGCTGATGCAATTCCAACAACACAGCTCTTTAAAGCACCGAATTAAACACAAAGTTCCCCCCTTCCCCTTGTTTTTTTGTGTTGCCTACCTTGCTGTCGCCTTGGGTTTGAAATGTATGAGATGTATAAAATTGAGCGGTTTTCCTTCTACTCAGTGTCACAGGCATTATGTTCTCTGTCTCCAGAAAGTCAGATGTTCTGAAATGGCTGCCAAAATGTCCAAGAAATCAAACACTGAACAATGACAGCTAAAATGAGCATATTTTCTTCCTCTTTTCCTCATGAAAAAAAGACTGCAAAGTTACTGAACAGGATGACCAACTTGGTCTCAAAAAAAAAAAAAAAAACAAATCCATCTTGTTTTGTGGGTGAGTGAGTTAACTGTTTTTATTTCTTAGTTGCATTTAACTATATCCTGGCATGGATTCTTAATCTAGAGCAGAGGAAGGCAATCTGATTTATTGAGTTACAACTCCCAGTATCCCTCATCATTAGCCATGTAAAGGGGCTGCTGGGAGTTGAAGTTCAGCAATATCTCAGATGCATCAGTTTTCCTATCTCTTATTCAGATTCTGATTAGAAATAGTGCCTTAATATGTGTGGAAGGGGTAGACAATTGTTTTTCAGAATGTTGCATCAACTTTCTCATTTGACAGCTAGCCTGAAACATGACAAATAATTGTATGGATTGTAACTAAGTTGTGCAGAAAGATACTAGGTTAGATCCCCCAAATATGAAGATAGCACACACAGATTAAGTTTCTGCTCATACAAATCCTTTTCAGAAGGTACTTCTTATTACCTAAAATATTTGGATCTGAATTGTGTCACTTTCATTACTTTAGATTATGAAAAAAAATGGTGACCCTCCAAGTTTTTGCTCTGGACTCCAAGCTATGAATGAAGGACTCTTTACCAGTTATACAATGCAATTAAGTTTCTCAAACTGGTTTAACTCAGTCATTTCTGCCACCCTTTTAACTAGGTCCTTAGCTGTACAGTTATATGCCCACTTAGAAAATGGATGATTCACGTAAGAATGTTCTCAAAACAGTTAGTAATTCTACAAGAAGCAACAATATTATCTGCCTTGGTCTTCAAAACAAGCATCACTCTGCACCCTTTCCAAATCAACATTACTGCACTCATTCAAACAAGTGACTGTAGTATAAACTGTTTGGTATCCAACTTCTACCCAATATGCACACACACACACATACAAACATACATACATACATACATACATACATACATAATCCTGCTTTGATTAAGTATGATGCATGATTTACCTAGCAAAGTGCAAGCAATTTTCTATACCATTTCTTCCCAAATTATTCTGTAAATCACACTCCCCAACAGTCAACAGTTGCTTTTATTTTTATTTTTTTGGTGGCTATGGTATCTTCTCACCATATCTATAGGATGAGATTACTAAAATACATAAGAGTAAAGAAATGAAAATAAAACATGGGAACTGTGCAATGGGTTGACACTCCTTACAAAATGAAACTCCATTTACTCATATATTCACTATGCTTTCTTATAGAGTGCCAAGTCTGGCTTGGATAAGTTTGAGAAGAAACAAAGCAGGATGCCCACTGTGCGCATTACTTCTTTCTAACTCCAAGGAGCTACACTTTCCATACAAATGTTTATTTTCCAACAAGTTTTGACCAGTTCATACAAGTTTGGCTAGCACTTCATTTGCCCTTTTCTCACACCCCCAATACTTTTCTCCTTCACTACCTTTTCCTCCATTGGTTCAATCTGTTGCTTTTTCATGAGAACCATGTATTTTTTTAATTTGAAAGTGTCATATTTACATGTTGCACAAGCTGAAATCTTCTTGAGTAAACATCTCTGCCTCTAGGACCTCCTTTGGATGGGTCTCATGTAATCAGTCTTTCGTATATGTCCATTCATACAAATACATGGTGTATAGCTACACAGTATCATTATACTCTATATTATTATAGAGCAATAGTGAAAAATTAAATTCCCATAATCATATAGTAACAATACAGATTAAGAAATCTAAAGGCTTTCCCTTCTCCTAAATCTTTGTAAATAATGAATCAATCAAAATGTATTAATAGGTCACGATCAAACATAATAGGACCTCGGAGTCCTAGTGGACAATCACTTAAATATGAGCCAGCAGTGTGCTGCAGCTGTGCAATGGGTTGACACTCCTTACAAAATGAAACTCCATTTACTCATATATTCACTATGCTTTCTTATAGAGTGCCAAGTCTGGCTTGGATAAGTTTGAGAAGAAACAAAGCAGGATGCCCACTGTGCGCATTACTTCTTTCTAACTCCAAGGAGCTACACTTTCCATACAAATGTTTATTTTCCAACAAGTTTTGACCAGTTCATACAAGTTTGGCTAGCACTTCATTTGCCCTTTTCTCACACCCCCAATACTTTTCTCCTTCACTACCTTTTCCTCCATTGGTTCAATCTGTTGCTTTTAGAATCATGAGAACCATGTATTTTTGGAATTAATTTGAAAGTGTCATATTTACATGTTGCACAAGCTGAAATCTTCTTGAGTAAACATCTCTGCCTCTAGGACCTCCTTTGGATGGGTCTCATGTAATCAGTCTTTCGTATATGTCCATTCATACAAATACATGGTGTATAGCTACACAGTATCATTATACTCTATATTATTATAGAGCAATAGTGAAAAATTAAATTCCCATAATCATATAGTAACAATACAGATTAAGAAATCTAAAGGCTTTCCCTTCTCCTAAATCTTTGTAAATAATGAATCAATCAAAATGTATTAATAGGTCACGATCAAACATAATAGGACCTCGGAGTCCTAGTGGACAATCACTTAAATATGAGCCAGCAGTGTGCTGCAGCTGCCAAAAAGGCCAACACAGTGCTAGGCTGCATTAACAGAGGGATAGAATCAAGATCACGTGAAGTATTAATACCACTTGGTAATACTTGGTAAGGCCACACTTGGAATACTGCATCCAGTTTTGGTCACCACGATGTAGAAAAGATGTTGAGACTCTAGAAAGAGTAGAGAGAAGAGCAACAAAGATGATTAGGGGACTGGAGGCTAAAACATATAAGGAACGTTTGCTAGAATTGGGTATGTCTAGTTTAACGAAGAGAAGGACAAAGGGGGACATGATAGCAGTATTCCAATATCTCAGGGGCTGCCATAAAGAAGAGGGAATTAAGCTATTTTCCAAAGCTCCTGAAGGCAGGACAAGAAGCAACGGGTGGAAACTAATCAAGGAGAGAAGCAACCTAGAACTAAGGAGAAACTTCCTGACAGTGAGAACAATTAATCAGTGGAACAGCTTGCCTCCAGAAGCAGTAAATGCTCCAACACTGGAAGTTTTTAAGAAGAGACTGGACAGCCATTTGTCCGAAATGGTGTAGGGTTTCCTGCCTGAGCAGGGGGTTGGACTAGATGACCTCCAAGGTCCCTTCCAACTTTACTACTATTACTATTACTATAATAAAAAGACAACATAGACAAAAGACAAAAGACAATGTATACAATATAATAACTATTAAAAAATAAAAAAATGGAAGAACATCCTAAAACAATTAGCATCAACAATTAATTACATAAATGTGACCAGAAGAATCTCTAATAAGGCTGCAAAATGTTTATCAATAACACAAATGGCACATGTTATCCTATTTCAGACACATCATGCGAAAATCTAGCTCCCTGGAACAGATTCTAATTCTGGCTAAGTGAATGGAATGGAGTGGAGTGGAGTGGAGAGAAAAAAGAAGAGAAGAGAAGAGAAGAGAAGAGAAGAGAAGAGAAGAGAAGAGAAGAGAAGAGAAGAGAAGAGAAGAGAAGAGAAGAGAAGAGAAACAACGGCAACAGTCCCAGTACAGTAGCGCTAACTGCACTGTTAGGAAGCCTGAAAGAATAGGTTAGGGGGGTTATCAAGAAAAATCTATCTATGTGGCTGCTAGGAGTTGAAAAAACTTGTTGGCATATAATAATCATGTAGATACATATAATAATTTTGAAATAATATTCAATTTTTACTTTTACTTTCTGCATGAATTCAATGGGATTTTAATCTACTTATATTAATATTAATTGGAGGTAAACAATATTGTTTCATGGAATAATTATTCCAACTTACTTAAAAGAATCCAAATACCAAGAAAAGCTCTTTTTAAAGATTTCCATGAATTACAGACTATAAGAAGCATGGTATATCATACAATAATAATTTATATTCAGCTCCAACCACTCTCAAACTCAGAATGTCCTTCACTTGCCTAATCAGACTTGCCAGTGATTCCATTATCAAATTAAGTATGAAAGATTAAGGTTATTTTTTATTACTTCTGATAGGTGAATATGTTATTCCATATGTAATAACCCTGCTTATGGGATTAAAATAGCATGTTTCAATCTACTTAATAACAAAAGGGAGAAATCCATATTTGAGCAAAACTTGCTCCAAAACTTTAAACTGTACCACAGCAAAGGTCTTTTCCATACTATCTAATTTTTCTAATTTTCTAAATTTTCTGAATGTGTGATATATATATGTGTGTGTGTGTGTGTGTGTGTGTGTGTGTGTGTGTAGTTAAAAAATCAGTTTGTAAAAATATATTACATGGGCCTTGTCACCCTTTTATAAATTTACATTGCACAAGCTGGATAACTGAAGTGAATATTGTGTATGGTCTGCATGCCAGGGTTGTTATCAAAACTCTCACAAGGAAATTGGGCAATAGCTTGAAAAATCAGCAGAATGTTTAGCAGACTTCAAAGTCAGGGCTAGGAGAGACTTTATACAAAAAAAATATCAATATAATACTTATCAGTATTTATGTTGTATGCTCCTAGAGTTGCATAATTCAAGTTGGGCGACATTATGAATCTTGAAATAAATGAATAAAGAAACCTAAAACAATACAGGAGCAAAAGCATAAAGGTATTTGTTAATACCATTCAAATATATAGCTATCAGGTCTAGAGTTTTCCTAGGTTTCATTGATTTTGTAGTATTTGTTATTTCCTGAACGGAAGAAGATGCAGCTTGATAAATAGCTATTTTTTTGTAATCTTCAGAAGAGCAATATTATTTAAAAATTGTTAATTTCTTCCTATGCAACCCTGTGACTCAAATCTTTAAAACGTATTAAAATAAAAGAATGCTGATTTGTTAAATCAGAGTAATAAATATATTACTCTGAAC